TATATGGTAAATTTTGTAAATATCCAAAATGATAAGGGTGATGGTTTAAGTTCATTAATAGATAATTTATGTGAAAATGATAGAATAATTATAATTAATGCAGTCGTACTTAAGCAGTTAACTAGTTACAATTCTAATAAATTAAACATTTTAGTTCGTCCACAAGACAACTCTTCAGTTATGTTATTCAAAATTAAAAATTTGTTAGAAAAAACAGATTCAATAATTGTAAAAAATCTTTCTGTATTATCTGGTACTGGTGTTTATTCAATATTTGGAACTATAAAAAAAATTGTTAAACATAACTATGAGGTAATATCATTAAGATTGCAAAGTTGTGATAAATCAATCTTAAAAACTCTAAGATCTTCTCATTTTGTCAGTGAATATAAAAATATAAACAAAAATACATTTGGGGTAAAATATGATTATCTTTCAAACAAAGTTGATATTTTAGTTAAATCTCCAAGTAACGACTTTACTTCATTGTCACTTAATCAACGAATTTGTTTGAACAATGTAAAAGTGAAAATTATTAATGATTCAGACATATTTTTACTACATATGAATGGATATAGTCATAATATAAAAGCTGGTCCAATAGAAACTGGTATTGTAAATTCTCTTAGACCCCCATCTAGACATTTTCCAATACCAGATGAATTAAGACCAACATTACGAACTAAATTCAAAAAAATATCTAGTGATGTTGAATTAGTTTTGAATGATAATATTCAAGAGTTAAGTACAAAAATGTCTACATTGGAAAATGCAGCTTTAAATGTTCAACAAAGTACACATAAGAAAACAAAATTTGTAAATTCATCATCTGATGATGATGATATTGTTAACTTATCACCGTGTCAAGATTTTTCATCTACGCAAATTATTAATAAGGACAATAATGTTAAAAACAATGCTAGTTCACTTTGCAAAAAAAACACTAATATTATTGATGACAATTTATTGCCTATTGRCCATTTAAGATCAGCTAATGAAGCCCAAAAATATAATGAACACTCATCACTTATTTCATCAAGTAAAGATACTTTTTTGCATAAAAGGGAAATGTATTCTCAAAGAGAAATTTCACCAAGTTCTTCTACAGATGGCTCATGTTCACCAAGTTTCTTCAACACACAACAAGAATCATTAACATTGAATCAAGAAACTCTATCAAATAATTTTAAATCTAAGAGTATTACAAACCTTCCTTTGAAGTGTATAGGTTCTTGTAGACTGATTCATACTGTACCAAACATATTTGTTAGTAATGAAATTGTTAGTGGATATTGTACAAAATGCAATGCATTTGTTCAAAAATGTTACCTTAAATTCACAACTCAATCTTCAAATATGGAATACAAATGTCCTAAATGTTCTAGTATTGTACACCTTACGTTTTTTTTCATAATGAATTTTCTTTATGGAAAAGATGAATCAAAAGCTATAGAAGTATGTTGTTATGATAAATATGCTGAACACGTTATTAGAAGAATATCAAGTAAAAAAATTAAACTTGAAGAATATTTATCAAACCAAAATAATAGGGAACTAGTTATACATACCATGAAATCTCTTATAAATAATAGAACAAAAGTCAATATAATTGTTTGTTTTTCACCCGAGGATAACAAAAACATACTTTTGGAAATAGATACAAAATGTATTGTTATAACAGAATAAGCAAAATTGTTATCTTAAGTTTTTACTTGTTTATTTTATAGTATTACTGTAAATTGTAAAAATAAGCCGTGTATAATTTTTGACAGTGTTAAATGTCGAGTGTATAATATAAATTATTTATTTATTCTGTTATTGTTATAAAGTACTTAATCATTAAATATTAATACTACTTTGTGTGCTTTAAGTCAATAATAATTTTAGTCTTATTTTGTATATTATATACCTAAATCATCAAATATTTTGTATCACATTCATGAATTATTCTATCATGGATATTAATATAAATACAAGATTAAATTCTAACTTTTTYATAATATTCTAAAAAGTGTTTAAAAAGATTTTTGCTAACTATAACAATATCTCATGTAATACATATAATCATGGTGAAAATTATATATTTTCAGAAATACTAATTGTACTGATGAGTTAATACTCAGTAGGCAGTCGTGCAAAGTATTTGAATATTTGTATTAAAATACTTTTTGAAGTATTTTTTGGTATTCTAAATACTATATTTTTTAAGTATTTTTAACATCATATAAATACCTGTATTTAAATACCACATGGTTCGTTTTATTAATTATTTTTGACAACAATTTTACATCAATAAAAATAATATTGTTTTCGTTGAAGTAATATTAAATCGACTTAATCTGTAAGTTGGAACTCCAAAAATATAATTTCATATTTATTAATATCATGAGCATGGAGTATCTAAGATAAATTTTTATCTTATTGACAAGGCTATGTAATTATTTGTATAAAAAACCAATATATTAATGAGACTAAAAACAGAAAACATTTAGTTTAGAAAAAGTGGGTAATTTTAAGGTTTAAAAATTTTAAAAATGCTACACCCAATTTTATATGGGTTCTATGTTGGATTTTTCTTAAATAATTCTATATTAGTAGTTAATACCACTTTTTATTTATTTTTTTGTTTTGTAATTTAATTGTATCGATAATGATACCTGAACATGTATTTACATCTAAATATTTGGGCATGTTATTTTTTTCAAATTGTTAAAATCTATGGTAAGTACTAAGTAGTAACATAATATGAGGCACCTATAATGATGTACAGTATTCATAAATCACATGTATGTTATTATAACATAACAACTTAGTTTTTTTTAATTTAAATTGCGCCTATGATGCTATATAGTAAACACAGGCCYGTAGTAAGACATTTTCCGCCCTAAAGCGAATAAAAATAATAGTTAAATTTCTGTCTTTTTTGGAAATTTAATATTACAATTTGCCGCCTCAATTTTTTTAAATGTGATGCCGCCCTAAAGCAACGCATGGCTTTCTTGTACCCTAGCGACGGGCCTGAGTAAACAATTTAAAAAAAATACTTGTATTTGTATTCAAATACTTAGTGAGTATTCGTAAATTACATTTTTATAATAGTATTTAATACTATTTTATTTGAATACTAGTATTTTAATACTTTTTTAAAACTATTTTTTACAAGACTACCTGGTGTTCCTGATGAAATCATATGTATTTTGAAAATTAAATCCCATGTCCGAATTTCAGTTGGAGGCTACCAGCTTACAAGATCTTCACAAAAATATTATTTATGTAAAAAGGCAGTTTTAAAACAAATAATAGGTGATCCAGATAATTTTTTTCCGACTTGCCGCATGGACAGTCTGGTTCTCAAGATACCATATTACACTACCATAAACTGCTCCATATTAAGAATTTTATTTTTACTCTCCATGATAATTTATGCAGTTTACCCGGATCATTGCTGTAGACRTTAGTGAAATAGAATCACAGTTTGCCTTTGGCTAACTTCCGTGTATAGTGTATTTATATTTTATTTAAACATTTATTTAACACTAACAATTATTTATGGTTAATTAACAAAATTAATATGAAGCTCAAGTATGAGGATGACAAACATTAAAGTATCACTATGAGGTTGTGAAGTTAATAGACTAGGATGCTGCAAAGTTAAAATTCATAAAAAAAGGTGAATACAGTACATTTTTGTAAGGTAATAAAAACATTCTTTTAAACTAGATAAACATTAAAGTATTGCGCCCTAAACCTCACTCTTTCACATATCAACATTCATAACTAGTTACTAATTATTGACAATATTTGATATGTAAACCTAAATGAAATAAAATAAAAAYAAATTATTCAAAATTAAACTTTTGTTTATAATTATAATAATATGTGTCTTAAATATATCAATATAATATTATTTCAATAATTTCAACGAAATTCATAACTGTACAAGACATTGTATGGAAGCTGCAACTATAAATATAAATCATAATTTTAAAATGTTAAGATAATTATTATACTATGTGTCTATGCATATTGTGCTACTAGCTATGGAAATTTTTTAAAAGCAGTGAGTGAAACATTACAGAAATATTACATTTAATTAGGCTACACGTTATCTATAAGTAATCTCTGTTATATTATATTATATAAATATTTTGCTCAATGTAGTTCACTATATTATTATGTATCATTATCAATCATCAGTAGTACTGTTCTATGGTAGTATAAATGTGATATAAACATGAATGGAAATCTGTTAAAATGTTCAGGGGGATTAAGGCCAATAGGGGAATAACATTTTTAACACTGATGCGAGTCCTCCCATTTCCTGCCTATGTGTATAAACATATTATATTGTGTATCAAATTATTTTGTCTCCTCAAACCTTTCATGACGTAAAAAATGTATCTAATTTTTTTTTACTTATAGTTAATTTATTGTTGACTATTGTAATAATACAAAGCAAGGTGTTGCAATCTGCTTATCTAAATATATAATAATAATAATAAATAATAATATTATTATAAATGCATAGATATATATTATATATAGTATGTAGAATGTATAACTATTTCACATTAAGTTCCTCCACTGKAAAATGAGGTCTCTATTCTGTATTTCTTGCCATTATTGTATTTAAAATGCATTATAATTAATGGAAGAGATTCAGTTGATACTACAGATATAACAAAAATGTGTAATGTCTCCAATTACTGACAAGTATTTATTTATCTTTGAGGGATTTGGCAAGGTAAAGTGTAGCAGGAAAACTAAAATTTATTTTTGTTTCACAAATAAGTTAGTACTATAAAGATATTATATGAGATATTTTGTATTTCATATTATGTAACTTACTATATAATTACAACATTTTAATAATTTAAATTTAATATTAAAAAATCTGCTACATACATATCAGAACAATAAGTGATGTATAATAACTAAAATAAGAAAGACAAGTTTTCCAGAATGAACAACTCTCCCACTGGAGTAACTTTGACATATGGTATGATGGTAATACAATTATATCACAAATGTTTTTCAGTCAAAATTATTCCTTTTTTGCTTAGTAAATAAGATGTATATAATATTCAAAATAAAAAATAAAATAATATTACATTTCTTATAAGTAAATAATACGAGGTAATAATTTAATGAATCTGTTCTTTCTAGTATTTAATTTATTTAAATTTTCCAAGTAAATTAAAGTGGATTAGTTTTAATTTAAAATAATACTTTATTTGTACATTTTAGGTTTTTTTTTTCTATTCTAAATATTGGTTCTAAATGCATACAACTAGATAAATATTAATAATTCAAAGAATATATACAGTGTGAACTTAAATTGTGATCACACTGAAAATCTCAAGTGAATGGCTTGTATTGAAATGTGGTTTTTGGGAGGTGATAGGAAGTACTTGTTACTTAATTAATACATTTTATTTTTTATTATAATATTAATATTASTATCATCAGTATAAATATTTTGTTATAAATTTAATTAGTAAAATTGATGAAATATTGTACTCTAAAAATAATGTTTAACTATTTCAAACTTATTTTATTATTTCCTGTGGTTATAAATGAAAATGTTATTAAACATGAATCATGCATAAATCCAAATTTTGGCTTACTCAAACTTGGTCAGTATTGTAAATAGAAAAAATGTTTATTATGAAAAATGTTTTTAAAAAAAATAATCTATCCAAATACATTTAAAAAAAAATGTTTCCACTAGAAAAAAATATGAGTTGTATTGCTGCGCATACCATATGCATACAAAGTGTTAGAAATTTTAAATTTATCTGAAAATATGTATCTAGGTATACCCTATCATCTCCAGAAACCTCCTTTCAATACAAGGCCAACCTGAAATATTTAGTGTTACCTTAAATCTTGATCACACTATACATATTATTATGAATTGACAAATAGAAAATTAAGATTTTATTAAAATGTAATCCTGTTATGTATGATCTTAATGAAAATAAAATTAAGAATTTAAGAATCAATTAATCAATTTCCAAAAATAAATATAATGACTAAATTAAAAATATTAAATACTTTGATAAAATTAATCAGTTAGTTAGGTAACATTTACTATTTAGTGGATTAATTAATTTCTCAGCTCAATAAATCATTTATATCAGATAGAGACAACTGTTTAATTTGTGTCTGAGTTTCTTCTTGTTTTATCCATAAATCATTCCAGTTATTTGCTGAATTATTAAGAGACATTGGTTTAGTTTGTGAGGTAACTGAATTGTTTTCAAATCCTGAAAGTCTACCTTGAAGACTCATTGATTTATTTTCAAATCCCATTGATTTTGATTGAGATAATGAGCTTGTGGTAGGTTTCATCTGATTTAACCAGCTTATTTGATTTATATTTGAATCAATCAGTGATGATGTGAGATCCTTGGGAACTGGATTATTTTTGTTGACTTTTTCTATGCTAGGAGTAAGGGTAATGTCTTGCTGAAATGTGCAGAATGGTATATCTTGTGATTTGTTTGTCCTAAAATGAATTAAATAGCACACAAAAATAAATTACAACAATTCTTTGCTCATCAAACAACCCAATATTTTTGGTAAACAGTTTTTTAATTAATTTTTTTTCTACAATTAAGCTTCTGAAAATCTGAAGTGTTAAAAAATTTAGACTTTGCTAAAAATTCAAATAATCTCAATTTAATTTTATGTATAGCAAAAAGTTTCTATGGAAAATGAGAAAAAGTGCTACAAACCCTGAATTGAAGAAAAAAACAGACTTGAACCAAATTAAAA